CTCGTAACCAAATAGCAGGCCGCCGATGGCACTGAACGACGCGCAGATTGCGACGTATCGAGAAGCAGCGATGCCTTGGAAGCCTGGTATTTCCTTGTCAGCAAAGATGATGATTTCCCATTCCCAACCGGGGCACACAAGCGTAGACGTACCGGGGGGGCCGTAAGGCTCTGTCGACAGATACGGCACGGCATCAGTCTCCTGGTGCTCGGCCTTGGGGGAATCAGCCGCGACTTTGTCCATGGCCGACAACATCCCGAACGCAAGACGGTTTGTAAAAGATATCCTAGAGCAAGGAGCAAAGGAAAAGAGAAGACAACCTGGGCACGGCCTTGGACTTGGATCAGCCAGTTGGTGAGAAAAGGGTAGAGGGATATAGGTCTCTTTTTAAAATGTTGGCGTTTGCGACTTGCTGTCGACTCACCAGCCAATGCCCATGCCGTTGTTTGACGGGTATTGCGTCCAGAGCACTAGCTAGCACGAAGCTTGGCTAGTTTGGGAGGCGCCCCATGGGGGAATAAATAATGTGCCTACATCTGGTTCTGGATTCGATTGGTTTCTGTGGGGGAAGAAGAAGGTTTGCGGTTGACAAAGTTAATCCCCGCAGTTTAGATAGTTTGATTTGCAGACGCGCTGGTTGAGTCTCTGTTTCGTGCCAAGGATAAGGACAAGGGCAGGGAGGAGCGGTCAAGTGAGTCCGGCATTGCAACTCAAACAAAGCCCTGTTGGCTGCTGCTTGGCTTGGTGGGAAGAATGCGTGTCTGCATTGCAATCGGCGTCGATGACAGTTACGCGCGTGGCTGCTGGCGGCGATTGGGTTCGACCGGCGAGGCGGCCCTGGTTCCCCCCTGGCATTAAAGTGGCCGGCTGACTTCCATGCGTTGAGGAGTCATGGAGCTTTCTAGAAACCATTGGAGCACAACAGAGCGTTTCAATGTTGCGGCAAAGGATGACCGACTTTTGCTATGTGGCCGAGGTTTCCGTAACCGGGTCCAAAAGGCAAATGCTGTCTCTCTCCCGTCTGCGATGCTCGAACCATGAGCCTCGGAGACTTGTGTCACCAAGTCGGGACGAATCAACGACCAGTATTATTCAACAGCAGCAGCCGGAAACAAAAGCCCAGGCCAATGGTGCGTCGGTGGTTATGATTTTCCTTGTCCGGCGGCTACTTCTCTTCCGGGCTAGGCCGCTGGTGGCTGCTGCCATTGCCGAGCAAGATGGCTGCCGGTTGTTTGGGGTCGCGGCGGCGAAGAATGCCTCAAGAAGCTAGCGCCGACGGCCACAGCTGCCTTGTTCTTAAACGGTTTCTGACTTGCATGACAACTCATTCTGGGGAAAAAGGCCTGACACTGTTTTGTTGTCTTTATTCTGACCATCCAATCGGTTTAGTTGTAATTGCGCTTTCCCCCCCCCTTTCCTTCTCGATCCACGGAGGAGAAACTGGGAGCAGTTCCCACACCTCGTTCGTGGCTCTGCAGAATCACGCCGGCTAATGACGATTGAATATCTAATGGAACATGTTGGGCTGCGCCAATGACGCCAATAACCGACAAAGTGGCCTTGGCAATTGACTGCCGAGACGATGGACGGAGCAGCATGCAAAGCTCTGAGGACAACATGCACGGAACTTGAGCCCGGCCGCCAAGTCCAATTGGTTCTTGTTTCGAGAATTATGACGAGGTAGCATTTCATCCGAGTGCTTGCACTGGCTGGTTCTGGCTTTACCTCTTTCACTTCAAGATATAAAATAGTCGGCGTGGTTCGGCCAGCTCATGGTGTGGATGATTTTTTCTGCAGCAAGTAGGACAACACTGATATCAACGCTTAGATATTGCCAAGTACTAGACTCTAGGTCTCTTTTTTTCTGCCTTTCCCGGGAAAAATCAATTGTGATTCCTGGACCTCATCAACCGCGAGGACTCAAATCTGTGTCAGCAGACAAACGAGCCAAATACAAGCTGCCACTTCCCCGGTACGAGGCGGCATGCACATGTCTGGCAGACACAGGCTTGGGCTAAAAGACAAGTCTTGTGACTAAACATCGGTTTTCATCGACACGGGCCAAGTTGCGGGGGCATAACTTGGTCGGAGAGACTTGCCTTTTTGCCATGACTGCGAGCTGCGAGCGGCTATTGCATATCTACCTACGGAGTACCTAGTAGGCAATATTAACAGCCACACCAAGGCAATGAATGTCCTCGCTTCCCAGAAATATGCTTTGGGAGGCATTTCTCGTCATCTGCAGTGGCGGCTGCAGTTGGCTGCGCCCCTGTCGAAAGAGCGCCCAGGTCCAAATGGTGGCGTCAAGCTTTGCGTGTTTAGGTCCGACGACGGCTGTAGTCAGTGACAACTAATAAGTCAAGAAGATCCGCCATCCCCATAAGGGTGGGTTCATGCATTGCTTCTGCATTGCATTGCCATCAATCGGATTCGTCGCAGCACCGCTCGTGGGAACGCATTGGGGAAACCGTCAATGGGGAGGGGCAAAGGGTTCTGGTGCGGTGAACAGAGTTGAACCTAACCGACTGCGCAGAACAACATCGTCACAGCTTTGCCGCGACAATATTAAAGTGCTTCCCCCTCTCGCTTTCCCAATTGACCCTTTTTAGCATCCGGCACCTCAACTGAACAACTCCGCCCCGGTGCAGCATCCAACAATGCCTCCCAGAAAGCTCAAAATTGGCGTCGCCGGTCTCGGACGCATGGGCAAGCGACATGCCCTCAACTTCTTCCAGTCCGTCCCTCGAGCGGAGCTCGTTGCCGTCTCTACGCCAGATGTCCAGGAGCGGGAATGGGCCGAGGAACATTTGGCCCCCTCCGGAGTCCGTGTCTATGAGAACTACGATGACATGCTGAAGCAAAACGGTCTCGAGGCCGTCTGTATCGCCTCAGCTACGGCCGTCCACGCGTCACAGGCCATTGCCGCCATTGCGGCAGGCAAACATGTCCTCTGCGAGAAGCCCCTGGCTACCTCTGCTGAAGTGGTAAGCACATGGCTATTCTGCTCGCTGCAAGGCCCAAAAGAGCGCGAGTTCAACGAAAATAATGCTAATGATTTCAGTCGCAAACGGTTGTTGACGCTGCCGCCCGCCGACCAGATCTCAAAGTCATGTGCGGCTTCTCTCGGCGATTCGACGACAGCTACCGCGACGCCCATGCCAAGATGAAGGCCGGCCTTATCGGACGGCCGTCTGTTTTCCGAAGCCAGACCTGCGACATGCTTGATCCTTCTGGATTTTTTGTCGCGTATGCCCAGCACAGCGGCGGCATCTTTGTCGACTGCTCCATCCACGACATTGACCTGGCATTGTGGTTCTTTGGCGAGGACGGCGAGAGCAAGGTCAAGTCTGTCAGTGCCGTGGGCATCACCGCCGTCGAGCCCGACCTGCGCAAGTACAACGACCGCGACAACGCCGTCGGTCTGATTGAGTTTGTCGACGGCCGCATCGTGTACCTCTACTGCTCCAGAATGATGGCTGCGGGCCAGGAAGACACTACTGAGATCATCGGCACCAAGGGTAAGATTGGGGTAAACACGATCCCCACGGCAAACCTGGTCCGCGTCTACGAACCCAACGGCATCAGACACGAGGTTCCCAAGACGTACTGGGACCGATTCAAGAATGCTTTCAACACAGAGGCCAATGAGTTCACCGCCTGCTGCTTGGACGACACCGAGGTGCCCGTCAAGTTGGCAACTGCAGTGGCTGCGGTAAAGATTGGCGCCGCTCTGCAGGAGTCGATGATTTCTGGTAACAAGATTTGGTTTAACAAAGATGGCGAGCGTGTTGAGCGATCACAGCTGTAATGACGATTTTGTCTCGACCGTGTTTGGGTTGCGCAAACTCTTCACATGGATTTTTTTTTCTCCACCTCTTAACATGCAACTAATGAGAATATACAATATAAAGGAATAATTTCCCGACAGTCCTGTAAAATTTGCCATCATTGTGAACATGTGAGTCGTGTCGGATTTCGAACAATGGGCATGTACCCAGAATTAGGAGCAAAATGGCAGCCCAAATCGCGTGTTGGATCCAAGAAAGTTACGTGGCACAACATGTTAATATCAACTCTTGCTCGTTTACTGCTATTGGCGCAACAAGGTCGCTGAACCTCCTCTTTAGCAGAAGTGAGGACTGCTTACCTAAGTTGTTAGTAACTAGTACCAGCTCTTCCACGATCCGCCGTCACTCTAAACTGCAGAGCAAAAGTGCTGTACACATACACGCCCGTCTTTGACAAAACCATACAGGCACGCAACACCCGAGCCTGACAATCCCAATGCCGACAGTGACACGGAAAAGAGTCCATTGCCGGGTGCAACACTGACCAATACCCCGCCTGAATAGAGTATCTGCCTACACTCGGGCTTAGCACATCAATCTGTCCAACGAACTAGCTACATGAGGTAGGTCCCATCCAAAGTACGGAATATGCTACGTTGTCATGGCGGCCCTTAATGGTTGCCTTCCACACTTGAACCAGGAGCCCCTGTTGTAGGAACAACACACTTTCACACTTTCCTACTTCATCATGCGTGCTCCGCATGCCGCCCTGGAGCGACATTGGATCTCGGTGCCCTATCTCGTTTCGAGCGGGGAACTGAGACCACAAGGCGCACAAGTGTAGGATCGGGCCCGTTGAAGTCGTTCCATGGAAAAGAAGGAATCAGCTTCCTAGAATAGGGGGGTCCTTGTGCATTCGGCCAAGCTTGGAGCTTGACGTTCATGGAGTTGTTCGTATATAAAGCCCTTGTTCCCCTCCTGAGCCGCTTTATAAGGGCCTCTAGGCTTGGTGACCTTCTTGCCGATCAAGAGCGTCACGAAATATACGAGGAATTGAGAAATTTCTGCATCTGAAAAGAAATGTGGTCCAGCTCACATCATGTGCTGGCGACAGTGGTTGCGGCACTCTTGGTGCAAACCTCGCACGCGGCAGCTCCGTCTGGCGATCCGTTCAGAATAATCGACCCTCAGCATTGGGTGAATCCCGACAACATGACATGGGCGGACTTCAAGGCTCCTCCCGGGACTCAGTGGAACGACCCGTCCAAGAAGGGCCAAAAGAGAAACTTCAATATTGCGCTGGTCACGGTTGACTACAGCGACATGAACTTCACCATCACGGGGCCGCCAAACTCGACTATTTTCGGCACGCCATCAGCCGATGCAGCCAATATTCCCCGCAAGGACGTGCCTGCTTGGTACCGCGATTTCCTGAACAAGCCGGGACAGCTCAACCGAGGCCACACTCTCCATGAGTACTGGATGGAGGACTCTCACGGCCGATACGGCGTGGACCTGGCATCCTTTGGGCCATACCGAATGCCCCATCTATCATACCAGTACGGCATAGACGACTACATGAACCCGGGTGCCTGTCCGCCCGGCAAAGAGTGCTCGCTCGATATACGAGGCGACGCACTAAGCCTCTGGAGAAGAGATGTGGGAAATTCAACAGCGGGCAAGTACGAGCTCGTGTTCATCCTGACTGCCGGACAAGACGAGTCGTCAACATGGCAAGAGTTTGGAGAGATGAAGTTCAACAGCAGAGAGGACGTCCCGGACGCATTTGGTCCCCCAAAGACGGCGGGAAATGCCACGCTCCCCAACTACGCCGCAACTAGATATGTGCCCTGGACGTCGTGGGCCGCAGCCGCGAGCTTCTGGCCCAACGCCGGCAGTGGCTCGTCTGTCCAGTGCGAGAGTTCGGGAATGGCCACGTTTGCCCACGAGCTGAGCCATCTGTTGCAGATCGGGGACAACTACAACAACCCGTACGGGACGCCGCTTCGACGGGCCTTCACGGGGCCCTGGTCGATGCTGTCCAGGGGCACGTTCAACGGGCCCGGCGGCCCTCACACCCGGTGGCAAGTGCCTCCCGTGCGTGGAGCGTCCATGGGATCCCTCCACACGGTCCGCGACAAGCTCCAGATCGGCCTCATTGAGGAGACGAGCATTGTCAGGATCTCCAGGAAGAGCCTCCAGACGACGGGGCCGCTGGTCACCACCGTCACAGCGAGGTCGGTCAAGACGGACCGTGTCGGCGTGCGCGTCCTCCTCGGCACCGACATGTCTCCCGCGTGCGACGTCAGCAAAGACCTGTACTGCGACGGGGGCGGCTACGACAACTACGACCTGGAAGTGGTGGACAGGATGGGGGCGGATTCATTCCAGGGCGACGCGGGCGTCATGATCAGCAAGACCAGGAACATGGACACGGCGCCCTTCCAATGGACCATTGACGCGAATCCCCAAGACATCAAGCTCAAAGACTTTGTCCGTCCCAACGGCACAGAGGCCATGATTACGATGGGCGACTACAGACAGCTTCTGGATGCGCTCTTCCACGCTGGCACACGCTCCGGGAGCAAAGCCGAGTACAGGGATGAAGCAAACGGTCTTCATTTTTACATTCTTGAAAAGATCCGTGACAAATCCGGCGTCGTGTCATATACCGTCGGTGCACGGGCTCTGAATAGCACTAGCAAGAGCGGCTTTAGCGTCAGGCTGGGCAAGGGTCGTCCGGAACCGAGCGGGAATACGCCCACGGGCAAGGGTATATTCTGCTCCTTTGACCTCGTCAACGACGGGAAATACAATAAAGGATGTGGTGTTACTTCCGCGCTAGAGCCGCACGTCGGCTTCGACATATATCGTCTCCAGGCCAAGGTCAAGGGTAAGGGGTGGCGAACTGAGGTCCCTAATGCATTGGTGGCCGCCAAGTTTGGAGAGAAGGTGGTTGCCAACATCGCCGTTGGTGCGACAGCAAATGCGGACGATGTTGGCGTGGTTACATTGACGGTTACGTCTGAGTCTGATCCGAAAGCCAGGACGACGGCGACATGCGAGGTGCGCAAGGCTTGAATCGGAGAGAGTCAAAATGGCGAGGCGAGCAAAGGTTTGGTTGCAGACTGACACGGAATGCTGAGTTGCACCATAAGTTAAAGGACAATTGAATATCCGTCTAAAAGTATTCGACTCAATTATTTATACAACGAAAAGTCGTGTCTAATCCTTTATTCATACACATTATGCGCTACCCCTGCTGCTGCTTGCTGCGGTGCGCGACTCATGGTCTTTCAAAGTCATCAGAGCAACTTCATCTAAATGCGAAACCTCGACAGCATATGCCTTGTGGTAAGCTATCTGATTGCCAGCGGGGCCCGATCGGTTTTGCCAGTCGTTGAACGAGGATGTTGCTGTAGCGCTCGGGCCTAAGCTTGCACTTCGATGGTTCTTTTCGGGTGGTCGATTGTTGCTGCTGCTATATCCCGCGTAGCTACGCGCTGTCGAGCCACCGAGAGTTGGGAACAGGCGTACAAGTAGAAGTCTGAGTGAGGGTAAACAGACACACCAAATGCCCACGTTGATTTCTATAGTGGACCACATCGACACTTCGAAAAAGTCCCACGTAGGGTTCGTGGAGTCAGAACCGAATTTGACGAGAGATCGGAGTCTGAGAATACTGACGACGGTTACGCTGAAAGTAGTCAGTAATGCGCCTTGCTGCAACTTGGAGGGGACGGGGCCACTTACAATGTACCCAGCATAAACATGGCGGCAACGCCGATTTTCTTCTTCCAGTTCATCTTCAAGCCCTTGAGTTGCCACAATGGTATAGCAAGCATCCAGACGTCTATGGCGATACCAACGCCTGCGTTTGACCAGGCGATTGCGTTGATATCCATGCACTTTCCACTATGTTCTTGGTCCCACTTCGTCCAAAAGTAACTTATAGGAGAGCATGTGAAGAGGCCGACAAAGACAAAAACGATGCCGTAAACAACCACAAATGCAACGGTGCCCCAGAGAAGCCGTCGCACAGCTGGTGCTGGGAAGATGCGCAGAAAAAAGAATAACATTGACAGCTTCACCAATGTGATTTGAAAAAAATAGAGAACTTCCATAATGTAGAAGAATTTCCCGAAGTTGTACAGTTGATCGAAGTTGAGGGTCCATGCATCTTGTCCAATTCCATTGACACCAACGCCGTATGTGTTGATAATGGTTGAAGGTGCACCGCTGATAATGGTGGCGAGAGCAAACCAATCGTCCAACCAAAAGTTTTGTTTTGCCCATAATTTAAAGGCGAATCTCTGGATGATGAAGAGACCGGACATCACACCAAGAATGTCCGACACTCGAATATAGACAGCATTCTTGTCTCGGATGGGAGCATTGCAGCCCTCGCTTGTGAGCTTCTTGGCCGCTGTCACGTAGAGTTAGTTAAGACTGGAATACAGCCAACGAAAACATGTCCGGGTTGTCGGGTGTTGAGCATATGAGAATAACGTACTCAGGGCTTCCTTCGCCGTGCAGCCCTTTACAATACAGACGGTTGCAGTCTCCAGCAGCACTTGATCAGAGCAAATACACTTCTGATCAGTCAAGTCGCATTTTGTTTGTGTCAATGCTTCAGTGAAACATTTCGCCTGGCATTTTCTGTGTTAACGGATATCCATATTTTAGTGCACGCGAGAAAGGGGGAGGCGAGGGAGGTATATTTGGCCATACCGCGCATGTTGGAAGTTTAGTTATTAAAGATGTCAATGAAGATGATGAATCGGACTCGCTGGCCACAGTTGGGATAGTCGACGCAAGAAGCAGGGCCAAACCCCCTGACAACTTCATGTTGAGCCTAGTTGACACCTTGCGAGGTGGAAGATAACCTGGCAGTAGTCAATAAGGTCGGTGGAACTCTTTGAGAGGATGGCAGGGGATGATGAGTTGGATATATAACGATTTCTTGAAGGGGCCGGGATTTCGAACAACTCCACGCCCAATGAGCCAGTGGCGTCGCATTGCCGCTTGCTTCGGGTTGGCCCCAAGACTTAGAAGAAGCGTACTTGACCAAGTGGGTTGAGGGTCAAGTCTTCCGCAGGGGCATCGCATTAAGTTTGTGCTGCTTTTGCTACTTGTACTGTTGTGGCGTTCCTTCAGCTTCCCAGATGTTCATGGTCCACGGCTCGACGGAGCCATAACCGAGCCCGATCCTAGCGTCAGTCCCATATTTCGGGCTGGGCTATTCCCGGAAAAAAAGAAAAGTGCGGCCGTGAGAAGCCAGACACAGCCGGACGATAAATGAGCATCCGACTATCTCGTCCCACCATGTGTGAATTCTCGGATATCCTGCCAATCTATGTCCATAGTGGCAGCGGGCGGCCGTGCGCTCGGCTGCCAGGATGCGGACTATGTCGGACGGTAGATACGAGATTTAGGACGAGGCTTCGAGAACGGATATTGGGGATATTGGATCTTGAGATGATCTAGGGGAGTTTACTCTCCCTGCGGTGCTAAACTCTTCTTCGGCATCTTGACTGGACTTGGGAACCAATTCAGGCAAACACTGGATCCACTTTCGGAAAATCGAAGAGATCCAAGGCAGTTGTTCCATGTGGTCGGAAACATTGCGAGAAGACTGGCGTCATGGTTTCGACGTGGCTTTCGTCTTCCATGTCCCATCTCCCGTTGAAGGGTAGGGCCATGCTTCAACGTGGCCTTCCTGGCGCATCACCAATGCAGGGCCCCTCGTGGCAGAAGACGATGGCAACCTGCGGCCACCGCTGATCTCCCTGGCATGCGTAAACGCATGCGCCTGTTGAAGTCGGCGAGACGCATTGTGGTGCCTAGTGGACCTAGCGCTCTCTAGCGCGCTCTGGCGTGAAGGGTGAAGTCCAAGAGCGAGGCATTGCAATGTTGCCGGCATTAAGACGTAAGTGACTTGTTGGGGTGTATCCGGAAATTTGTTGCCGGTTGTCCGAATGGGTGTATTTGGAGTGTCGCGTTGGTAGTTGAGAGACTCTCAAGTCTGTCACGTCGTTACTCCGCGCTCCGAACTCCGCAAAGCACCTGCGCTCTGAACGTGGGTCGCGCCTGCCCGTCATGGGAGGACAGCGCCCCGAGCGTCGCCATCTATTGGTAGCGTCCGGCGAACCCATCCAGAGGTTGGCAGATTTCTTGGCCAAAACAACCGTTGGAAAAGCCGTTCCGGCCGGCATCGACCTTTCAATCCGTCTTCCCACGCTTCAAGATCTTTGGATACCGACTGTCCGGGGGAGTACGGACACCCTCGATCGCCTGTAGTCCGAGAATTGGCAGCATCACATGCCCCGGAGCCCCGGGGGACCAAGACGAGGTCTAACCACTCCAATCATTTCAACAGCCGTAGTGACGCCCACTCGGTCACCGTGAATACTACATTGCGCATTGACAACACCCATATGGGCAAGGATCCAATCGTTACCAAATTTCCATCCTTCCTCTCCGAGTGGAGGCAGATAGGGGCGATTTGAAGTCTATGTAGCAGGGGTCCCCCCATATCTAGGTCTGCTCGCGGTCTGTGACGACAATGATGAAATGAACCTCGAGCTTTGGCCACAGGCTTACTGCACTGACCCGATGTTAGATGGTATCAAGCATCTAATTAGATTCCTCCCATCACACATGATATTCAACATTACGACTGCCACCCCCGACTGCCATTCTCAACACTACGATTCCATTGACACAGCCAACGCACTACTCGGCCAGCCAATGACTAAAAAAGTTATATATTATGGAATGGTTGCCACGCTACGATAAAACCCGTCCCCACGAAGGTAAATTGAACTATGTACACAGTTGCCGGAATATGTGGTTAGCCAGCATACGTACGTCTTGTATGCCTGTCTACTTGACAAAGACTTGCTTTTCTTTTTTAAGTTTCTCAACGAACTCAATCGGGACCTTGAGTGCCTGAGACACAACGTCCGGAGGCGTTAGAGCAAGCCATTGAGTAAGGGGAATGTCGGCAACGCGATCAGATTTGTAAATCTCAATCCAAATCAGATCCTCAGTCTTTGAAGTGTTTTCGACGTAGTGTCTGGGTTAGCGTTAGCCCGGCGATGCCCCTCGCAAGAATACCGCTACGAAAGGGTAAAACTCTTACCCAGAATTGTCAGGGAAGACAGCAGTATCGCCAGCTCTGAAATCGAATGTTCTGGCATTGGCGTTTCCAATGAATGCAGTGGCTCTGGCTGTCCCTTGATGGAAGTATAGCCATTCCTCAGCCTGTAGCCTGTAGTGTTAGCAGTGAACCAGGATATCTGATGCAGGGGTAGATTATACATTGGGGTGCCAGTGGAGTTCTCGCAGACCACCTGGCTTCAGGGTCACAAATGTCGCTGCAATCGTCTTGGAAATCGGGAAATTGGTCGAGTCAATCTTGCGGAACACACCTCCCTGGCCTCCAATCTTTTCAGCGGGGTGCTCCAAGGTACGGTAAACAAACGAGCTATTTCCTGATGCAACCGGAGTAACAGCACCAGTGACATTCTTCTCGCTGACGGTGGCGTTCAAGATGTATGGGTTAGGGGTAGGGATGTTATCGAAGACGGATTCAGGGACCCCAAAATTCTTCGCCAGAATATCCTTAGGGGTATGGGCAAGCCAGTCATCGATATTGAACGTGGTTCTGTACTCAAGTCAGCGGAAGTGCGTCAGTCATATGTTATCTCGATTTGCGTACCCGACTTTGTCGAAGTCGCCCTCATCAAAGACGAGGAGGAACTCGTTCTCGTCTTCAAGACCTTGTACGGTGTGGGCGACACCCTTGGGGAAGTACCATATGTCACCATAGTTCAGCTCTTCAGCCTGATATTTGCCATTTTCGTCGACTGCAGAGACAAGGATGCGGCCTTTGTATACGAATCCCCATTCGGCCTAAAGTATAGCTTGTAAGCACAACACTATGGGTTGAGTTGAGGGACAACCAACTTACAACTCGGTGCCAGTGGAGTTCTCTGATTGCACCCTTCTTCAAGTGCTGCTGCGCGCCAGATATATCGTGACTCTGAGGCAGATCCTGGATAACCTGCTCTCGCACCCAACCACCCTTGAGGATTCTGGGTTTGGAGTCGGAAAAGCTCCACTTCAGGTTTGGAACAATTCCATTGTCTGTCGACTGTCGGCCCAGGTTGTCGGGGTTCTGCAAGTCAAGCGCCTGGTTGGTGCCACCTGGGTCACGGTCAGGTTGACGGGGACGCATAAGTTGAACATGTTACAACAAACTAACCGCTGATAGGACCCCCTTTCCCAGTCTTGCTGATTGCGAGACCTTGATCAAACTTATCTTCATCTCTATTCTCCAATCGAGGCGCAGCCAGTGCAGAGGCGGCGAGGCACGAGGCTACAAGAGCCGTTACAGAGGTAAACTTCATAGCTAATGATGACAACTAGCTACGTAGTTATGGCTCGTCCGGGTTTTGAGGCCGCAATGTGGTGAGTATAAGAGGGGAAGAATGATCCTTCTCGGAAACATCAATCCATGCCGGTGCCTTCGTACTATTTATGTTTGGACCTTTTATGAACAAAAAGAATCACCGCGCGCAACAACGAGCAGATCCCAAGTTTCGCGACTTATGACGCAAGATTTTCTGTCTCAAGGACATTTCGATCTGCGCAACGAACATTCACTTCATTGAACCCAAAATGGCGACATTCACCCAGAGCCATCCTGTTCAGCGACCGATGGTCCTATCCCCGGTTCCAGCCCTGCAGTTGCGGTCGATTCAACCCTTTCTACAAGAGTCAAATGTCTCACCCTCTGTTTATAGGCTGACCCGAAAAGTAGTAGCGGCCTCTTTGTGCTTTATAACCTTGTCCCTACCAGTGCATTGCCCATGGCATAATGCCTGTTGTGGCTTACAGCTCTGATGGCCGGGCTAGATCACGCCATTCAACCGTCCCATGGCGGCTGGCCTTAGCCCAATGGCGTCTATGGATCTTCCCCCCGTTACTGCAATTCCCGAGGTGTGGACGAACTATATATCCCTAATACGTCTTAGCTGGCTCGCTTTTCTGATGAGGGAACGCCAAGTTCCAATTCTGATTGAGTATACAAGTTAGTTTGACAAACTCCTGCTGTTGGAACGCCACTCGCGTCGCGCGGCCGGCTCAACCATGTCATTTGAACTCATTTCGGCACTTGAGCAAACTCACAGCCTAGTGCTTGCCGCCATTTCGGGTACGCAAGTTTCGATGATCCAACTCCAGAGAATGAAGGATAGACGGTATCAATTGGCAAGCTGGCATGGCCTTGTCTACTTGATCTTGGTGTGCTGAGGACAATTATGTATGTAAAATATTCCCGGCACATATTCGGTCTACTGCTTGCTTACTAGATTGAATTGTCGCGCGATTTTAATTTCTAGAAATATCATTGAATCACTCATAGTAGGTAGTTACAACGGCAAAATTTTCGAATTTCCCCAACTCTATCATTCAGTCTGGCTGATCTGCTATTTGATGCCGTTGTATGCAACCAAGTTGACTGTGTTGTTTTGAACACTGATGGCCTTGTTACTGGTCCCCAGAGAAAGAATACTAGCCTTCAACTCCTTTACAGTGTTGATGTTTTTGGCAACTGCCAGATAGGCGGCCAGCCCGGCAACATGAGGAGCCGCCTGAGAAGTTCCGCTGCCGCTCTGAGTCTGATTGCCAGGAGCAAGGGACAAGACGTCCACGCCAGGAGCCAAGATGTGAACAACGGGGCCGTAGTTGGAGTGATCCCATAGTCGCCAGTTTGCATCAATGGCGCTGACGGTGATGCCATCAGGCGACGAGGCAGGAGACCAGTCTGAGGCATCGACACCCATGTTACCAGACGCGATGACGCACAGAATACCTGCGTCGTACGCGGCCTTTATTATCTTGTTCAGAGCAGTAGAATTTCCGCCGCCTATTGAGGGGGAGGGAAATATTGTTAGTGATGCGAGCTTCGATGGCGACAACGGACAAACCATCACACCTACCAAAAGACATGTTCACAACAGTCCGGTTCTGGATCTGCTTCGCTGTAATGTCCTTGATAGTCCACTCAATTCCGTCCAGGATAATCTCACTGGTGCTGCCTGCGTCATGGAACAGCTTGACATCTACCAGCTTCGTCTTCTTGGCAACACCGTATGTCTTGCTACCGACAATACCAGCGACGTGAGTACCGTGTCCTTGCACATCGTCGTCTGTCTCGCCCTTGACAGCATTATACCCGTGAATAGCACGACCCTCGAATTCTGGATGGTCCAGCTGGATACCACTGTCGAGAACATACACGGTAGATCCCTCGCCAGCTCTACTGTCATAGACATATTCGGTTGATCCGGGCTCTCTATGGGAAACAGTAGCAAGTCCATGAGTTGAGTTCTTCTGGGTGGTCAGTTCGTGCAGATGATACAGTTGCTGCTGCTCAACGCTCTCAACCTTGCATCATTTCCACGTCAGTCCCCAGCCTGTGACGCCCCCGAGTTTTCCTCCTACACTGTAACTTGGAAGGGCCTTACGTCAGCGTTTCTCCGGATAGCTTCCAGAGTATGCTCGTCAAAGTGGCCGGCATAGGCGTTGAAGTTCCCGACACCATACGTCTTCTCTACACCGCGGAAGTTGAGTCCCCTGCGATGGCGGGCTCTGGCCACTTGAACATCCCGAACCCAGTTCATGTGTGCATTGAAGTCATTCGCGCTGGTACCGTCTTTCAAGGTGATGATGTACTTGTCCGGGACCAGATCAGCAGCGCTGCCAGCTAGGGGCGTGGCATTGCTGAGCGGAAGGGCCGCTACCAGGAGCGACGCGAGATTTTTGAACGAAAACATTATCGTTCTGACAGTGACACACTAAATAATGTTGAGTTCCTTTTTTTTTCAGTCACGGACTCGATCATGAGTACGACGATTCTCTAGGCTCTGGTTATATACTCCTATCACGCTCTTGTGGACCATGATGGAACAGTCGCTTGTTCCAAATAAGGCATGTCGATAAGAATCAGCGTAGTATGGAAGTTATATTTTACGGTCCGTAAATCCACTCTAGAGACAAAGTTGTAAAAGTGCAGGGGTTTTGAGGGGGCTTAGGATCGTACAAATAGCTTGTGCAAGCAATAGACGACACATAGGGACCATTTCTCCATCTCTGCATGGCGCCGTTCCCACTGATAAATATGCAGTGACGACCAGGCCAAGAAGCTCGAGCCAGGGCTCAAGGTGGTTATTTCTGAGGAAATGCTCTGAGCTTCCCTTTGAGGACAATGACGTCTAGACACGCAAGTAGTGTAGGGGCAATAACAAATGATTGGCACCGTGCATGAACGAAGCTACTACGCCCGGTACACAAAAAACAAAGGTCAAACAAAGCCATCCGTCGGATGCTCACTGGCCCATGGTTCAAACGGCAGTTGAGTGCGTCTTATGTTGTGGCGGAGCCGGGGCACCGACGGGAGACTCCACCGATCTCAGCCAAGCAAAGCCTCGACTTGCCTCTTCTGGAAGGCGTTTTAGTCCCGGAAATGTTGGCTGCGACTTGGCAACATGGCCGCTATCTTTGCTGCTTGCTAGGAGTACAGCGTATAGCGTCCCGGTGAATTCACATCACCTCCTTCGCCAGGGGCCAGGGCGACGCTGCCCTGCTCGGAAATGGATCATGTTTGAGCACATAATTTTATGCTTACTTGCTCCAGATTTACACCCAGGAACCCGTTTACTGTCACACGAAAGCGGGTATCACTAGCTAAATAACACATAAAATAATAGTAAAAAGCCTTAATTAAGCTATAAAAGAGAGAATTATATGCGCCCCTTAAGAAGGGGCGCTTAGCTCTATAAATACTATGCGCGTTATTTAATTTCCGTGCGCATTACGTGGCCAGATACCTAATACAGCTAGTGGGCTTGTTGTGCCGTGCGACATTTTTTTTTTTTTTTTCATCCAAGTAGCTATCAGTTATAGTCTAAGGTATGGGCCGTATAGCCTACCCAGAGCTCTTACGAATATAGTAAATACAAGTGTATTATGTATTGTATTTTATATTATATTGTTTTCTCGTGTATTATATTTAAATACATTACATTACATTTTATACCCTTATAATACATTTATAGGTATTCTTATCTTATAATGTATTATAATATATTATAATATAATATAATATAATACAGTATAGTAAAAAATACAAAAAATACAATACATTTAGAGGTCTGGGCCTACCCGTGAGAAATCAAAATCTCATCTCCAAATGCGCACACTCTTCTTCGGGTCAGCGAATGGCTTCGGCAGCCAACACTTGCGCACGATCCAAGTCAAGCCTCGGGTGCCTCCTCTATCTCGCGCAATCAGGGGCGCTGGATCATGGCCTCACGGTCAGGACCAGTGCCGATGTACTTGATCTTGACTCCGACAAACTTCTCGATGTACTCAACGTAATCGCGGGCCGCCTTGGGGAGATCGTAGTAGGTCCTCGCGTTAGTAGTCGGCCTTTGCCAGCCTGGCATCTCGTGGTAAACCACCTCAGCTCGGTTCAGGATGTCGAGATCCGCGGGGTAAGAGTCCAGTTCCTCTCCGTCGATCTTGTAAGCGATGGCGATTTTGATCGTTTCGAAAGTATCCAAAACGTCGAGCTTCGTGAGATTCAGGCTGGTATAGTAGTTGATCGAGTTACTGTAGTTGACAACAACAAGGTCGAGCCATCCACATCGGCGTCTGCGGCCAGTCGACGTTCCCCATTCGCGTCCAATCTCCTGGACCTTGGTGCCAATCTCTCCGTATCTTCGGTCTTGAAGGCCCCCGCCCCGACACGGGTAGTATAAGCCTTGACCACTCCAATTGTCTCTGTGATATTCCTTGGGTTCAGTGTAAGTCCACCAATAATACCAGCGAGCGTAGTACTTGAGGAAGTGACGAATGGGTAAGAGCCATAATCAACATCTAGCATCAGTGCGTTTGCGCCTTCGATCACAATTTTCGTGTCGCTCTGCTGTGCGGATCTCATGAAGGACACGCCGTCCACGGACCACGACGTACTTCTTCAGCGTCTCCCTGTACTCGTCGAAGCTAGCAAGCTCGGCTTTGATGTCGTATTCGAACAGTTCTCCGAAGCGCTTTTGTTAGCCATCGGCTAAGCGCCTCACCTTCTGCTTGAAAAGGTCAGGGTAGAAGACGTCAGTCAATTTGATGCCAGTTCGCGCTCTGCTGGTCTGATAGCAGGGACCAATGCCGCGTCTTGTTGTTCCAATAGCTGCGTCTCCGAGTTCCCTCTCCTCAAGACCATCCACTGCCATGTGCAGGTCCAAGAGGACATTGACCCTGTCGGAAACAAGGATCCGATCATGTACCGCAGTCAGGCCCTTTTCCTCGAGCTCCCGGAGCTCGCTGAAGAAACTTGGGACGTGGAAGACTACGCCCGAACCGATGAAGTTCATGCATTTTGGATTGATCAGCCCAGAGGGCAAGAGGTGAAAGCTATACGAAACTCCGTTTACACGCACGAGATGCCCAGCGTTAGCCCCACCCGCGGCTCGGGCACAGAGTTGCGCCTCCTGGCACTGTCTATCAACCAACTTGCCCTTGCCTTCGTCGCCCCATTGGGCCCCAAGAATGACAGTGATAGTTATGCTGCGCAGGATCAAGTTTGGCTCTCGTGGGAGCCCTCGTTGTAATTGCAGAGAAGAAAAAGGACGCGATCCGGACACACGAAAGCGGGCATCACTAGCTAGATAACACACAAAATGATAGTAAAAAGCCTTAATTGAGCTACAAAAGAGAGAATTATGTGCGCCCCTTAAAAAGGGGCGCTCGGCTCCACGAATGCTATGCGCGTTATCTAATTTCCGTGCGCATTACGTGGCCAGATGCCCAATACAGCTAATGGGCTTGTTGTGCCGTGCGACATTTGCGGCTACAACACTCTGTAGTTACTACCTTCCATTGTAACAAATGCTTACCATGTGGCGCGCATGCCAAGCCAAAAACCAACCAGACCATCAAGGTCCCCCTCACGAGCAGCTCACGTTGACCAAAAAAAAAAAAAAAAAAAAAATGAGGAGAGAATGTTTCATTGGAGCTGCACACGCTTTTCCTTTTTCTTCCCGTCGTTGGTAATGACACGTGCGAATATTGCACGTCAATCGCATACGACATGAGGATCGCCATATTGCGGCAGGTGGTAGTGAGTCCTCTTGCGTTTGCATTGCTTGGCGGCTTGGGCACGACCTTGGCGGCGCAGGACGACAAGACTCCCAACGGCTCATCTGTAGTCCATGCGGTTCGTGAATCCGCCCCTGTATACATCTTACTTGACGTTGGCGAACTGACTTTGTCCCCTCATCCAGCCCCAAGAGACCGTGGTTGAGATACGCCATGTCGACCTTGCGCTCGAGCAGTCATTTCAGGTCGCCGAGGCATCACGACATGATGTTGAAAAGGAAAGGCTATTGTCGATAATGGCCCGGGATCATGGGACGTGGTCGCCGAATCATCCGCGTTATCGCCTTCTTGACGCGCTCCATGGCTTCTCCAAGTATTACGAACGGCAGCGGACTGACGTTGACCGGCTGCGAGGCTTGTACAAGTATGCGTCCGAATCTCAGAAACAGGTGCGCTTCTCAAAAAAATTATTGAGCTTGTACTGCATGAACTTTTCATTTTTGACCGTGGTATTTGCAATGTGGAATAGTTTCTAGAAAAGCACCTGGCCTACTCTTCCAAATTCAAAGCGGTTGAGCAAAAGCTGGCCACGAATCAGCATGTCTGCGATGACATTGTCCACGCCGCCATGGAATTCTACAACGTTGGGATGAAGGAGCTCAGAGGCCACATGGCGGACAGAGAAGCTGAGGGCAAGCACGCAGACAAGATCTCTGTTTCCCAGTCGCTGAAACACATTGTCCGCGACTGGGCGAGCGAAGGGTCCAACGAGAGAAATGCAACGTTTGCCTGTCTTGCCGGTACACTGCGCCGGCTGTTTCCCGATCGGAACCTTTTGGAAGAGCATGTGCGCATATTGCTGCCGGGGGCTGGCCTGGGCAGACTAGGTCACGACATTGGCCAACTTGGGGGTGAGTCTGGCGTGTCCCACGAGAGTTTTCTGCAACCTTCTCCTTGTTTTGTCTCTAAAACCGGTCCAGGATTCGACGTCACCGTCAATGAGTGGTCCATGTATATGAACGCCGTGTATAGATTCATCGAGGCCCAAAACACGCCCCTGTCGCAGTCGGTTCACCCCTTTGTCGATGGCTGGTCGCATCATGTGTCGAATGACAACATGAATCGCGCCGTCCCCTTCCCGGACGTACCTGTCGACTCATCCAGAGTCCTCATGGTGGAGGGAGACTTCACCACCGAGTTCAAAAACCAGTCGGCGTACTACGACGTAGTATTGACATACTTCTTCATTGACACGGCCAGGAATCTCATGTCGTATTTTGACACCATTAGCCATGTCCTCAAGAAAGGCGGCATCTGGATCAATCTAGGACCATTGCTCTACGGCACCAGTCCGCTTGTCCAACTCAGTTTGGAGGATATAATTGCCGTTGCCAAGGACATGGGCTTTCAGTTTCTAGAAACGGATGCCTTTTGCGGAGAGCCCACGTTTTCAGAGCCTACGGTGAGGAGTATGGAGGCTGTTTATAGTTTTGACCACAGGGCCTTGACCAAGAATGCGTACAATGCACAGTTTTGGGCAGCCAGCAAATCATAGGGCCGCAGACACACAACTAGAAATGGATCACGGGGGTAGACTCCATTTTTGATAGCGTTAGTGGTCCTATATCCCTACTGCTAAGTATGTACAAACTAAGTATCCCATATACGCGCCTTCATTCTTCAAGTCCAGTCCTTGAAAGCCCATCGACATCTATCCCTGGACTGGGTGTCCAGTCACTGGATTGTCACCAGGCAACTTGTGCAGGGGGCCGTTGAATCCAATCTCCTCATTGGGAGGCGCAACCTCGACTGGTTGACGGCTCGAACGTCCAGGGCCATCCGGTCCAACATTCAAGCTGCAGCCGGCGTCGTTGACGCCATTGGGGCCAGTGCAAGTCTCGACGGCACGGTCAAGCCTGCCCTGGTCCGCCCAGCCGTTGAGGTAATCGCCGTGCAGACCGTATCCGGTAACATCTCCCATGGCCCAGACCCAACGGTTAAAGTCCTTGACTGCTCGGGTATTGTAGAAGAATTCGAAAAACACCGAGAGGATGGCAACGGGGTGAGATTGGGGGCACACACCCGTGTTGTAGTCGCCAACCGCAGGGAAGGCCATCTAAATATTCCTCCGAGTCAGTTTTCTTTTCTTCTTCTTTTCTTTTTGTACTCGTCTGCTAGACGCAAATAGACTGAGAAACGCAGCTTGCCCTACATGGCTCTTATGGTCGCCGCTGTCCAAGTTCCTTCCATCCCAGCAGGAGGGGAAAAAGGTCTCTGCCCTCATACGATCGCATTGTTTGGCGGGCAGGTGAGGCGTCTCGCCGCCATTCGCACCCAGGCAAACGTGCGAGATGGCTCTCTGCTCCGGGTTCGAATGGTTATATGTTCTACATTTTCCCCCGGGCTCGTCAGCTCTGCAACAAACGGCTGAGCGTTTTCCGGGGGGGGTTATAATCAAACCTGAGAGTCGGATCCCCGACAACCATGCGCAACCCCTTTGGCGGAGCCCTGGCATGCGGTGCGTTTTTGCAGTTTTTCTTGCCGGGGGCATAGTCACAAGCTCGGTCAATGTAGTACGCAGCCTGTTTGTCGTCAGAGGATGAAGTGCCAACACCAGAGTTGCATGGATGATACACCCAACCAAACGTACAATGCCCTGCATCTCGACCAGCTCAAACCTGCCGTCCCGTCGTTGATGGTACAGCTGAGGCTGCCAGTAGTTGCTCTTGTCGAGACGCTTGTCGCAAGTCGTGGCCTTTGCCTGGCGAGCCTGCTCGTTGGTCAGGTTGAGGGCGAACCTGGTGCCGCCAACGACGGCGTGCACATGGGGGGACATGACGCCGGGGAAGAGGATGGGATCGCCGCGGTGCAAGGTCAGCGGCGCGCAGTTGACGGTGAAGAGCTGGGCGACGGAGCCGGGCGCGAGGGCCGAGGCAACGACAATGGCTGACCTGACACTGGTTGACACCATGGTGAGGTTGAGCGACGACGGGGGGAGCAAGTGAAGTCTGATGTTGCCGGGGGTTTGTCGCGAGGGGGGGATGTTGAGACTCCATTCTTGCATTTCCCAACGCGTAGAGCAAGAAGGGTATATATAGTTTGTGCCCCTTGAACAGATGCTGCGTTTTCCGTCAAGTAAATGCCCTCCTTTGCAACTAGGCATCAAGTTTTGAAAAAGAGGGTGTTGGCAACCTGCTCAGGCTAGGAGCTAGTGCCACGACCATTCCACGACGTCTCATTGGGGGCCAGTATATTCTAGCTCTGTCCAGAATCGAAATGTCCGAGAGGCATCATGAGGACTGTAGAACCTCCCCCGTGTCACGCTGGCAGTTGGCTAGCCGTCGCATTCGAGGTTTCCAAGCTTCCTCCCTGGCGAGGCTGCATCCCCCAACTTTCCCCAAAGGAAGCTCGTGGCCGCGAAACAGCCATTTACAAAGCGAGCGAGGACCGGGCTACTGCACCGGATGCATAAATTTCCCGCGTTGAAGCCGACACTAAAAGTCTTGTTGCAAACGTTGCGGGATCCGCGGAGTCTCCTGGGGCGGCGGCGGTTGGGAATAGCTGCAGGCAGGCAGGCGGGCGACATGTCCTCCCTCGGCCGGGGACGAGCTTCCATGAGAGATGTTGTAAAAGGGGGGCGTGTTTCTGCACGACCCAGCACGACGAGTCTCGCTGCTTGACGGAGTGTCTTCGGTGCCATTTCGCAACGGCCGCCCTTGCCACGCATGTGTTTCTACAGCCTGAATAGACCAATCGGCGGTATATTGTCCTTTGACCCTTTTGAGAACAGTTTACGATGGGGGGGACACGCAAAAAACTGACGGGAGCATGGGCCTTTGATGATTGCAGGTTGAAGGAGCTCTCACCGCGCTTCTGGTTGTTCTTCTTCTAATGGCTGGAACATACTGCACCATGTTGGATATGTAAACATCGTGAAACCATTATTTCCGAGCATGGATTATATCTTTTTCCATCCTTGGTAGTAAAATACGTGTGAGGCGAGTAGAATTGCGCGAGGATGGAAAAGTACGACATTGGGGATGGATTCTCGTCACTCCCCCCCGGACTTACATCACCACGATGTATAATGCGCGCTGCCACGGGGCAAGATACAATTCCAACCATACCAGAACCCTTCGGGAGCCCTGCTAGTGTGAAGAAGAACCGGCGAACTACTGCGCCAAGTTGCCATCGGGCCTGTCCGTCAGTTACGTGGCGTGAAAGCCGACCAGTTACTTCTCACACCGCACAATCCCTCACAACAGTTCAGTTCGCCGTGATGGAAAAGAAAAAAGTCCAATTAGTTTCGCTAACCCATCCCCCCCTTCTGCTTCCGAGTTGGCACCTCCCATGCCGCTCTGGCCTTGGGCTCCTTGACGTGACATTTCCAAACCACATGGAAGATTCGGCGCTAGCAGCGGGCCACGAGACCGCTCGAGTTGCGGACATTTGTCGGCGGAGGACCGACGGTTGTTTCTCGATTTGCCAATGACTTTTCACGCCGGCCATGCAGTGGTGGTTGTATGCGCGGGAATGCCAACACATAAAGGATGGGAAGAAAAGGGGGGGGGGGGGCCACTGGCAAAACGTGAGGCCGCGA